GAGAGCATGGGAATGGATGGATATGGATGATGGGAATGGATGATGCAAATGGGTGAATATGGATGGAGGATGGGGATGGCTATGGATGATGGGAATGGTTGGATATGGATGATGGGAATGGATGATGGGAATGGAAGGATGATGGGGATGGATGGATATGAATAATGGGGATGGATGGATGGATGATGGGAATGGATATGGATGATGGGAATGGATATGGATGATGAGGATGGATATGGATGATGGGGATGGTTGGATATGGATGATGGGAATGGATGATGGGGGGATGGATGGATGATGGGGATGGATATGGATGATGGGGATGGATATGGATGATGGGAATGGTTGGATATGGATGATGGGGATGGATGGTGGGGCTGGATATGGATGATGGGGCTGGATGGATGATGGGGATGGATGGATATGGATGGGAATGGATGGATGATGGAAATGGATGATGGAGATGGATGGACGATGGGGATGGATATGGATGATGGCGCTGGATGGATATGGATGATGGGGATGGATGGATGATGGGAATGGTTGGCTATGGATGATGGGGATGCATATGGGTGATGGGGATGCATATGGATGATGGGGATTGATATGGATGATGGGGATGGATAATGGGAATGGATGATATGGATGAAGGGGATGGATATGGATGATGGGAATGGATGGATGATGGGTATGGATATGGATGATGGGAATGGATGGATGATGGGGATGGATATGGATGGAGAAAGAGTGAGTGTGTGTGTGTATGTCTAATTTTTTACTTCTTGTGTGTTTGCATAGAAACACTATATTGAGAGAGATCTCTCTATATAGTGTTTCTGTGCAAACACAGTTTGGCTGAGGAGGGGGGCGGGTATAGAAAGCGAGCTGAGCTGTCAGTCAGACAGCTCAGCTCGCGATCACGCATTCCGCGCACATGCACGGTTGAGCGCTGAGTTTCTTCATAGGGCGGCATTCAATGCCGCTCTATGAAGAATGTGATTGGTGCAGCGCGAAACCGCGCATGCGCACCACATTGTGATGACGCTTCTTAAGGAGAAGAGTCCTATTGGGCCCTGCGATTTCGTTATTGTGACGAAAAAGGGGGCGTGGCCTAGCGGGGAGCTCGGCACTGGAACGGAGGTAAGTTTTATTATTAAAACTTACTTGGATTTATTTTTTATTTATTTTTTTATGACAAGTTCATATAAAAGCAAGAAAGAAGGCTGGGGGACCTGTCTTTCTTGCTTTTATATGCTGACTATATTGTCCCTTTAAATGTAATTTTTAAATAATGAAAAATTATATATTTGTCAGTAAATGGGTCCAGACATATTTATTCATTGGCTTGTAGTAAACTCATATATAACCAACAAAGTAAATACACTGTTGAAACACCTGTACACTGCAAAACAGATACATACATTGACTTGAAGTTCTCAATTTTAAAAATAATTTATCCCTTCACTTCTATCTTAATATGCCAGCTACTGAAGAATTTGACAAGGACTTTGTCATTTTCATTTGCAATATTTCACGTCTTAAAAATAGGTTGCCTAAAAGAAAATTGTTTTCACTTCTACTATTGACAAAATAATTTATAGTGCTATGAAATGTAGGTCAAACTTAACTTGGTAAATACCTCAATGTCAGAAAAAAAATATTTATATATTTTTTACATTTGCTAAATTTAAAATGTATGATATACAGAATACATTCTGAAAAAAATAACTTTCAATGGCAATACAAAAGATTAAGTTATATAGTATTTTTGACTATTCTAGTTCAGGAAAAAAAAAAACATGCTATTTATTTAACTCTGTAATGATAACTGTATGTTCCTCCTGTAGTTATTTTAGGACATCATTTACAAATTGTTTCAAAGGTACTGCCACACTTTTCTAATGCTCCTCACCTCTCCAGGAATTATGTTCATTTTAACATCATTAATCTCAAAATTCACCACAAATATTCCAAGGACCAATCTAGGCTGCATGTCAAATTACAGACCAGTATCCAACCTTCCATTTCTGGGTAAAATCATTAAAAAAGTAGTGGCAACTCAACTTAGAAACATAGAAACATAGAATGTGACGGCAGATAAGAACCATTCGGCCCATCTAGTCTGCCCAATTTTCTAAATACTTTCATTAGTCCCTAGTCTTATCTTATAGTTAGGATAGCCTGATGCCTATCCCACGCATGCTTAAACTCCTTTACTGTGTTAACCTCTACCACTTCAGCTGGAAGGCTATTCCATGCATCCACTACCCTCTCAGTAAAGTAATACTTCCTGATATTATTTTTAAACCTTTGTCCCTCTAATTTAAGACTATGTCCTCTTGTTGTGGTAGTTTTTCTTCTTTTAAATATAGTCTCCTCCTTTACTGTGTTGATTCCCTTTATATATTTAAATGTTTCTATCATATCCCCCCTGTCTCGTCTTTCCTCCAAGCTATACATGTTAAGATCCTTTAACCTTTCCTGGTAAGTTTTATCCCGCAATCCATGAACCAGTTTAGTAGCCCTTCTCTGAACCCTCTCTAAAGGTATCAATATCCTTCTGAAGATACGGTCTCCAGTACTGTGTACAATACTCCAAGTGAGGTCTCACCAGTGTTCTGTACAATGGCATGAGCACTTCCCTCTTTCTACTGCTAATACCTCTCCCTATACAACCAAGCATTCTGCTAGCATTTCCTGCTGCTCTATTACATTGTCTGCCTACCTTTAAGTCATCAGAAATAATCACCCTAAATCCCTTTCCTCATATGTTGAGGTTAGGACTCTATCAAATATTCTGTACTCTGCCCTTGGGTTTTTACGTCCAAGATGCATTATCTTGCACTTATCCACATTAAATGTCAGTTGCCACAATTCTGACCATTTTTCTAGTTTTCCTAAATCATTTGTCATTTGGCTTATCCCTCCTGGAACATCAACCCTGTTACATATCTTAGTATCATCAGCAAAAAGACATACCTTACCATCAAGACCTTCTGCAATATCACTAATACAAATATTAAAGAGAATGGGTCCAAGTACAGATCCCTGAGGTACCCCACTGGTGACAAGTCCAAGCTTTGAATATATTCCATTAACTACAACCCTCTGTTGCCTGTCACTCAGCCACTGCCTTACCCATTCAACAATATTGGAATCCAAACTTAAAGATTGCAGTTTATTGATAAGCCTTCTATGTGCAACAGTGTCAAAAGCCTTACTGAAATCTAGGTAAGCAATGTCTACTGCACCACCCTGATCTATAATTTTAGTTACCCAATCAAAAAAATCAATAAGATTAGTTTGGCATGATCTCCCTGAAGTAAACCCATGTTGTCTCTGATCTTGAAATCCATGTGTTTTTAGATGTTCATCAATCCTATCCTTTAACATGGTTTCCATCACTTTCCCCACTACTGAAGTAAGGCTTACTGGCCTATAGTTGCCCGACTCCTCCCTATTACCTTTCTTGTAAATGGGCACAACATTCGCTAACTTCCAATCTTCTGGGACTACTCCTGTTAACAATGATTGGTTAAATAAATCTGTTAATGGTTTTGCTAGTACACCACTAAGCTCTTTTAATAGCTTTGGGTGTATTCCATCAGGTCCCATTGACTTATTTGTCTTTACTTTTGACAGTTGAAATAGAACCTCTTCCTCTGTAAACTCACGTGTAATAAATGACTCATTTATCCTTTTTCTCAACTGAGGTCCCTTTCCTTCATTTTCTTCTGTAAATACAGAACAAAAATATTCATTGAGGCAGTCAGCCTGACCTTTATCCTCTTCTACATACCTTCCTTCTTTTGTTTTAATCTAACTAATCCTTGTTTTACTTTTCTTTTCTCATTTATGTATCTAAAAAATGTTTTATCCCCCTTTTTTACTGACTGTGCTATTTTCTCTTCGGTGTGTGATTTAGAAGCTCTTATAACTTGCTTAGCCTCTTTCTGCCTAATCTTATAGATCATTTTGTCTTCCTCACTCTGGGTTTTTTTTAATTCCTAAATGCTAACTTTTTGTTTTTAACTATTTTGGCCACATCTGCGGAGTAGCACAGTGGTTTCTTGAATTTTTTGCTTTTACTGACAAGCCTAATGCAATTTTCTGTTGCCTTCAATAGTGCAACTTTTAAATAATCCCATTTCTCTTGGACTCCATTTAAATTGCTCCAGTCTGATAATGACTCCTCTACCCATATTCTAATTTTAGAAAAGTCTGTTTTTCTAAAGTCTAAAACTTTTGTTTTTTGTGTGGTGTGACTCAGTCACTGTTCTTATATTAAACCACACTGACTGATGATCACTGGATCCTAAACTTTCACCTACAGTAATATCTGATACCAAATCTCCATTTGTTAACACTAAATCTAATATGGCCTCTTTACGAGTTGGCTCCTCAACAACTTGTTTTAGAGACAATCCCAGTAGGGAGTTTAGAATGTGTGCTCCTGGCACAAGTAGCTAATTTTGTTTTCCAATTTACATCAGGAAGATTAAAGTCACCCATGATGATAACTTCCCCCTTCATTGTCATTTTAGCTATTTCCTTAACTAGTAGATTATCTAACTCTTCAATTTGTCCTGGGGGCCTATAAATCACACCTACATGAGTTACTGTGTGATTACCAAATTCTAACGTAGCCCAAACGGACTCTATGTTTGCCTCACTAACTTTTATTAGCTAGATTTTATGCTATCCTTCACAAGGCCACCCCTCCCCCTTTCTTGCCTTTCCTATCTTTCCTATATAAAGAGTACCCTGGTATTGCTATGTCCCAGTCATTTTTCTCATTGTACCATGTCTCAGTAACAGCGACTAAATCTACACTATCAGTTGCCATTATTGCCACAAGTTCATGGATCTTATTCCCTAAACTGCGAGCATTTGTAGACATGACTCTAAGCTTATCATTTTTTAACACACTTGCTACAGGCACCTTCTGTCCTTGTTTTGGGGGACAATTGGATTGATGTTTTATCACCCTTTTGCCCCCCCCTCCTAGTTTAAATACATCCTAGCAAAACCTCTGAACTGCTCACTGAGAACATTTGTTCCCTTTTGAGAAAGATGCAAACCATCTTTTTTGTACAGCTTATCTCCATTCCAAACAGAGCTACCATGAGAAATAAAGCCAAATCCTTGCTCCCGACACCATTCACCAAGCCACAAATTAAAGTCCCTAATACGCATCCGCCTGTCGTTCTGAGTGTTATGCACAGGCAGAACTTCAGAGAATGACAGTGTGGAAGCAACCTGCCGTATATCATTGGCAAAAACACTAAAAACTTCCTTAACCTCTGAAACCTCATTGCAAGCCAAGTCATTTGTCCCTAGATGGACAAGTACATCCAATTCCCCTTCCTGCTTTGCTTGCTTAACAATATTACAGATACGTCTCCTGTCTCTGTGAGCAGTAGCTCCGGGAAGACACCTCACAAGACCACCATTGTCCATCTCAACACCTCTTATAATGGAATCCCCCAACAACTGCTTTCTATTAGGCCTCACCATAGTCTCCAAGCCGGTATCCACAACACCACTAGTCTCAGTGCCTCTCTCCACAACACCACTAGTCTTAGTGCCTCTCTCCACAACACCACTAACCTCAGTGCCTCTCTCCACAACACCACTAGCCTCAGTGCCTCTCTCCACAACACCACTAGCCTCAGTGCCTCTCTCCACAGTACCACTAGCCTTAGTGCCTCTCTCCACAACACCACTAGCCTCAGTGCCTCGCTCCGCAACACCACTAGCCTCAGTGCCTCTCTCCACAACACCATTACACTCTGAAAGTGCAGAAAATGAATTATAAAGCGCAACAGACTGTGCAAAATGCCTTTTATCCACAACTCTAAGTCTACCAGATCCTACAGTAATCCATCTGCCTTTCCTAGTATGTCTATGCGGCAGTGGCTTTGCAGCAGTTCCAGTCTGAGTTTCTTCACCAGATAATTTACAAATCTCAGACTTCAAAAATACAATCTCCTGCCGCAAGATAGAGAACTGTCTACAGATTAGACAACAACCAAACCTCCAAAAAGTGGAACGTGAAACAAATGCATAGCAATTGTTACACTGAACTAAGTCTGCCATTCCAATTAGGAGAATAATTTAAATCTAACAAATCTTAACTTTGTATTTATCCTCCTGAATACCTCAGATTACCTCCAGGTTATCTCCAGAATATCTCCAACTACACACTTAGAAGTAGCACCAAGCTATATTAGACAAGCTAATGACACCAAGCCTTATATAACTCCAAAAATGACCACCCACTAGGAATGTTTAACACCTGGGTAGGCCTCTGCTTATTTGCAAACAATAGTTAATTAACCAGCAATCAATAGCAAGTAACTAGCTTAATCAAATCAAATGCCTTATAATTACCAACAGGAATTCAAACCTTGTGCAATCAGTAACCTTTTCCTACAGATGAATCTTACCTGTAAGAGTAGAAAAGAAAGCTCTTAGCACAACTCTTAGACAGTTGAAGCTTCTGTAAAACTCTCCAGAATATCTCCAACTACACACTTAGAAACAGCATTTAGAAGTAGCACCAAGCTATATTAGACAAGCTAATGACACCAAGCCTTATATAACTCCTAAAATCACCACCCACTAGGAATGTTTAACACCTGGGTAGGCCTCAGCTTATTTGAAAACAATAGCTAATTAACCAGCAATCAATAGCAAGTAACTAGCTTAATTAAATCAAATGCCTTATAATTACCAACAGGAATTCAAACCTTGTGCAATCAGTAACCTTTTCCTACAGATGAATCTTACCTGTAAGAGTAGAAAATAAAGCTCTAAGCACAACTCTTAGACAGTTGAAGCTTCTGTAAAACTCTCCAGAATATCTCCAACTACGCACTTAGAAACAGCACTTAGAAGTAGCACCAAGCTATATGGAGGCTCATCTATTAATCTAAAAGATATTTGATTCTTTCCAGCCAGGTTTCAGATGCCACCACAGCACATAAACAGGGTTAGTCCAAGTGCTTAATGATCTCCTTATGGTGATTACTCCATCCTAATCCTCCTGGTTCTATCAGCTGCATATGACACCATTGACCATAGGATTTTAATAGAGATGTTTTCTAGTGGGATTTGTAATTTACTTGCTACCACTGGGGGATATCATTGCTTCACTGATGACACATAACTCTACTTCTCCTTTGCTCCAGATACTAAATACCCAACATGCCTCATCAAGTGTTGCATGGCCAAACTCAGAGTGAATGAATGCTAGCTGGCTAAAAGAAAACCTGGACAAATCAGAGTTACTCTTGGTGAAAGGACCCTGGACAGCAAAAGTACCTCCTGATAACCCAACAGGACTGGATCTTGGAAGCTTTGAACTCATTAGTCCAACACAGGTTCGAAATCTCAGAGTAGTGGATTCCTCTGTAAGAAAATCTGCCTTCATTTAAGAAACATAGCTAGGATACAACACTTAATCCCCCTGGATCCATGGATTTGTATCCTCTCATCTAGATTACTGAGAAAAAGAACTTCATCACCTACAGACAGTACAAAATGTAGGAGCCAGATTACTGACCAACCAAACTCGATCATGTCGCATAACACCTATTCTCCACTCCCTGCAATGGCTTCCAATTAAATACCAAACATGTTTTAAAATTGGAATGTTGATCTTTAAAGCCTTAAACAATCAAGACCCACAATACCTAAACAAACTGTTGACATGGTATATTCCATCTCGGTCATGTCAGTCAGCCAACGAATCCCTTCTGTCAGTGCCTAGAATAAAGACAAACTTAATGTATTCAACCAAGCTGCCCCCACATTCTGGAACTGTTTACCTTGCTCAATAATAGATGAACTATCCTTATAGATTTTTAAAGAAAAGCTTAAGACCCATCTCTTAATTCAGTAGTAATTCACAAACTGAGGATACCACACACACACCTAGAAATCCAGGTGCTTATTAGGACCAGGGTTGGCAAAAAACAGTTTAGTAGATAAAAAAAATTGGATCCAGGCACTCAGGATTGCTGCAGGAAGGCAGGTTTATTGGAACAAAAAGTGCAACATTTCGACCTACACAGAGGCCTTTATTAAGTTTGATAAGCTTGATAAAGGCCTCTGTGTAGGTCAGAATGTTGCAATTTTTGTTCCAAAAAACCTGCCTTCTTGCAGCAATCCAGAGTACCTGGACCTAATTTATTTTAACCATCTCTTTTATCAGGCATTCAGTCAGCTCATCTATGAGAAGCGCTTAACTTTTATGTCAGCGTTATATAATTGTAAAGTGCCTTGAGTTTCAAAGGGAGAAAGGTGCTATAAAAATAACAAATTATTAGTATTATTGTTAAAGGGGCACTGTCACCATCCCCTGCAAAATGAGTATTTCATTAGGATAGAATCTTTATGACATACTCACATTCAGTGTATTAGAATTTCACTGAAAGGGGGGCGAGGCCAGAGAGGGTGTGTTTTTTTCCATCACTAAAACTCTCAAAGTTAGCATGTTGGTTCAATGCACAGAGCCCTGCTGCAGAGCTCTAGCATGAGAAAAAGGTCCTGTATTTGTTCTGCACAGCGCAAGCAAATGTAATAACATGCTTGCGCTGTGTTTGCTTTTAACTTGTCTCTGGTGTCTCCATATGTGGGATACCAGAGGACAAAAGGGCCAGGAAAATGTATGGTGCATGTGTTTGGAGTCTGCTTTTGGGATTGCCAGTGTAGAGTGTGGTGTGGTATTGTGTAAATAGGTTGATTTCATTCATATTTGTGGTGTAATGTGTGTGTGTGTAAAGGATTAAGAGTGTATATAGGATAAGGGATCTAGCGTGTATCTGGAGCGTAATGTGTGTAGTGGTGCAGTGTGAGAGGTGCTGTAGTGTGCATATATATATGTGTGTGTGTGTGTGTATAAATAAATATATATATATATATATATATATATATATATGGACGTATTGCATGTGTGTGGGGTGCAGTGTGTTGGGTGTGCTGTGTGTATGTGTGAAGGGTGCAGCCTGTGTGTGTAAGAGGGGTGCTGTGTGTGTTTGTGAGGGTGTTTTTATCTGCAGTTACATTATATGTTTCTAATTTTCTTTGTCTGTTAACTCATTGAGGGTTATTTTATATATTATATATGTGTGTCTGAGAGTGCTGTGTGTGTCTGAGGGTGCTGTGTGTGTTAATATAGTTTTATTTAAATATATATTTTTTATTAATAAAAAAAAAAGTTATATCCCCCTTTCCTTCTTACCTTTAGCCTGGGGGGGTGCTGCCATGGAGGGGGGCCGTGCTGCCATCCCTGGTGGTCCCAGCAGTAAGAGTGAACTCTAGAGTAGCCTGCAGGTCTAGAGTTCACTCTCCGAGATTTGAACATTGCCATGGTAACAATGGCAACGCTCTGACCTCGCAAGAAAAACCCGACGGAGCTGCTGGCTAGAGTTCCACCAGGTCCTCTCTCCCTCCCTTCCTTCCCAGCCGACGGCCGCATAGTGCCTGTGGGCGGGTGAGGGAGATCTTTGATATTTGATCTCCCCACTGGCCCATGAAAGCACACAGCAGGGCCGGTGCTCATATAGTGCCGGCCCTGGATGGGCCGACAGATCCTTAGCATTTGCCCTGTATGCCCGATGGCAAGTCCGGGCCTGGTGTCAATCACACAGCTGTCACCAGTGATGGCTGCAGGGGAATTGGATCTACCTATGGAATCGGCTCTACATTGGTCTTGCAGGCTCCTCCATAGTGAAAGGGTTAATGCTGTTCTGGACTCAACTCCCCTCGATTCTCGATTCTCCGGTCACCACATCAATTGACGGGAGTTTTTGTTTAGCAAATTAAGACACAGACACGAAAGATTGCTTAACAAGTTCTCAGTGAGTATATTTTCAGGGCTAGCATTTATACACAGTTTGTCACGCAAGCAGCGAGATTTATTGTTTTCTTGTAGTTAATAGTACATACTTGTCTGACATTAAAAGATAAGCATTTGAATAAAGACGGGACAGGAACATCCTGAGGTCGAGCAAGGTCATACATCCTGTAGAAGGGAGGCCTCTCAAAGCATGTTACAGAATACATCTGCCAAGGTCAGCATAATTATTTCAAACATTATTTTAACGCATATAAAACAAAAAGAGTTAACTATTTCATATCCTTACACATAGATCTCAAAGATCTACTCATTGCGAGAGTACAACTGTGAAGTTGGCTTCTGGCTGCTGAAGCATTATGTACAGAAGTGGACTGTCAGGGAAAGGATGGTGCTCAAAAGGGTCTGGTTCAGGTAAATAGAACTCACATGCAAAACATGTAATCGGGACAAATAATATCCTGTTGTGATCAAAAAGTTTGATACCCTGGCAGAAATTGTGAAATTTTGGCATTGATTTTGAAAATATGACTGATCATGCAAAATATAATCAATTTTATTGAAGGATAGTGATCATATGAAGCCATTTATAATCACATAGTTGTTTGACTTTTTTTTTAAATCATAATGATAACAGAAATCACCCAAATGGGCCTGATCAAATGTTTTCATACCCTTGAATCTTTTGCCTTGCTACAGACATACAAGATGACACATACAGGTTAACATAGCAATTAAAGGTTAAATTCCCATATCTGTGGTTTTTTTAAATTGCAATTAGTGTCTGTGTATAAATAGTCAATAAGTTTGTTAGCACTCACGTGGATACACTGAGCAGGCTAGATACTGAGCCATGGGGAGCCATGGGGAGAAAAGAACTGTCAAAAGACCTGCATAACAAGGTAATGGAACTTTATAAATATAGAAAAGGATATGAAAAGATATCCCAAGCCTTGAAAATGACTGTCAGTACTGTTCAATCACTTAAGAAGTGGAAAGTGTAAAATTCGGGGATCTCTTGATACCAAGCCAAGGTCAGGTACACTAAGAAAGATTTCAGCCACAACTGCCAGACGAATTGTTTGGGATACAAAGAAAAACCCACAGGTAACATCAGCAGAAATACAGGCTGCTATGGGGAAAAAAAACAGTGTGGTTGTTTCAAGGTGCACAGTAAGATGATACTTGAACAAAAATGAGCTGCTTGGTCGAGTTGCCAGAAGAAGCCTTTACTGCGCCAATGCGACGAAAAAGCCCAGTTACAATTTGCCCGACAACACCTTGACATGTCTCACAGCTTCTGACACACTGTAATTTGGAGTGACGAGACAAAAATAGAGCTTTATGGTTTCAACCATAAGCGCTATGCTTGGAGAGGTGTAAACAAGGCC